GGTAGGATCTACTAGAAATTGATTAAATTAACTAACCGGTAGGATCTACTAGAAACTGATCAAAAATTAACTAACAGGTAGGATCTACTAGAAACTGATTGAATTAACTAACGGGTCGGATCTACTAGAAACTGATTAAATTAACTAACAGGTCGGATCTACTAGAAACTGATTAAATTAACTATCAGGTCTGATCTACCAGAAACTGATTAAATTAACTAACAGGTCTGATCTATTGGAAACTGATTAAATTAACTAACAGGTTGGATCTACCAGAAACTGATTAAATTAACTAACAGGTAGGATCTACTAGAAACTGATTAAATTAACAAACGGGTCGGATCTACTAGAAACTGATTGAATTAACTAACAGATCGGATCTACCAGAAACTGATTTAATTAACTAACGGGTCAGATCTATTAGAAACTGATTAAATTAACTAACGGGTCGGATCTACTAGAAACTGATTAAATTAACTAACAGGTAGGATCTACTAGAAACTGATTAAATTAACTAACAGGTAGGATCTACAAGAAACTGATTAAATTAACTAACAGGTCGGATCCACTAGAAACTGATTAAATTAACTAACAGGTCTGATCTACTAGAAACTGATTAAATTAACTAACAGGTCAGATCCACTAGAAACTGATTAAATTAACTAACAGGTAGGATCTACTAGAAACGGATTTTTTTTTAAAACAGAAAAGTAATCCTCCTGGTATCACTTTTTTACGAAAAATTCAGAAATATAATGATTTTTTTCTTCTCTTTTTTTCCCCCCCAGGAAAGTCATAGACAAGATTGACCAGTCTGAGTTTGACGGCTTTGAGTATGTTAACCCACTGCTAATGTCAATGGAGGACTGTGTGTAAAGGTGCCCATGACAACGACCTTGACCATTACGGCTTTGTGCTTCAGTACAGTCTGAACTTTTGTTACCGTAGCTGATTGGAGGATAGAGGGAGTCCGAGATGGTGTTTTATAGTAGGATGTTTACTGACAGGACCACAAACACATGTCCACTGTAACAGTTGTAACGCCGCCAAACGATCAATTGCCAAAGTATACTTCACTAACCTTACACTGATAAGTATACGTCACTAACCTTACACTGATAAGATGTAGTTGTGATAGTAGTAAGGCTGACATGGTTTCCATAGTGAAAGGAAACATAAGATAGTTTCTATGGCGATAGGGAACATAAGATAGTTTCTATGGCGATAGGGAACATAAGATAGTTTCTATGGCGATAGGAAACATAAGATAGTTTCTAGGGCGATAGGAAACATAAGATAGTTTCTATGGCGATAGGAAACATAAGATAGTTTCTATGGCGATAGGAAACATAAGATAGTTTCTATGGCGATAGGGACATAAGATAGTTTCTATGGCGATAGGGAACATAAGATAGTTTCTATGGCAATAGGAAACATAAGATAGTTTCTATGGCGATAGGAAACATAAGATATGTAGTTTCTATGGCGAATGACAACATAAAACTCCTGTCTAGGTCATTCGTTATTTTACATCTGAATCACAACAGCTTCACCAGTGTCAGAGCTTTCTCTGTCGTCATTGGCTGGTGTGTTGTTGACCATGTGTAACATGTTTCTGTAAAAGTTGTAATACAGTTTGTGATTTACATGACCTTCTGAAGATGTTTAGTGACGAATATGATGTACGCACATTGATTACTGTGTCATAGCATCTCAAGGTGAAGGTCATAACATCTCAGAATATCAGGGTCAAGGTCATTTGAGTGTTACAGCTCTGCAAAGTATTACCAAATTTTAGTCAAGGTAAAACAATCTACATCTATACTTGCCAACTTTTTGAAATTTTCATGGGGGAGATTACACATGCTCAGAATTAAAAGCATAAATAAAATGTGTGTATGTACTATGTACACCCTAGGGGAAAACAACACTTTTAAATGGCATTGTTTGAGCTGGTTTTTCAAATGAAATCATTAGATGTTAGAATATAGGAATAGTTTAGCAAACTCACTGGTTGAAAATGCTCCATTTTAGGGTCCAAAATCGGGAGTCGGCCCAGATGGAAATAGGCATGATGGACGAAGTCGTAGTCTTGATAAAACCCACGTTACAGAGTGTACTGTGTAGTATTGAAGATAGCATAGCTTAGTTTGATCAAATACAATGATGTTGAATCTGAGTTGTTGAATTTGATGACCTTGATGACTGTGACCCTGACCTTGGTTTTCTGTAGATGTAACAAACTATGGCCATTTCTGTTGATGACCCAACTAAAAACAGGTGTAAATTTTAAGTGTAAACACAGAAAAATTCATTCAATGCTATGCAAAATGTTGTGTGAAGCTTTTCCCAGTGCTGTGATTCTAAGTATCAAATGTTGTGTAAAGCTATCGGCTGTGAAGGAGTAGAACAGTATAAAACTGGTGGTGCTGTAGTCTGCTGTTTCCTGTGTGGGTTAACTATGATAAAGTTTTTTTTTAAACAGAATATTGTGAACTAAATAGTGTAACAGTTTCATGTGCTTTTTGTTTTTTCTTAGAAATATTATTGAAAAACATTGTCTTCAAAATTAAGAGTATCTGGCATTCCAGTTCTTTTGCTAATACAAAAAGTATCAAGATAAACAAGGACCAACATGAAAGTATTTAAATAAAAGGAAAAATTGATAAATACTTTTATTTCCACTGTAAATATAAGCTGTACATATTGGTTGATTTGAGCAGGACTAAGTTTATCACATATAGAATATGACACTAGACTTAAACTCTTTCATAGAATGACTTTTTATGGACAATGTTGGCAGATCGTTGTGGATGCTGGTTGTTAAAGATTATTTGTGATAACGTGATGTCGGTACAGGAACTTGTGTTGTCTTTGTTAGAACACAACTTTGTGCTAACGTGATGTCGGTACAGGAACTTGTGTTATCTTTGTTAGTACACAACTTTCTGCTAACGTGATGTCGGTACAGGAACTTGTGTTGTCTTTGTTAGTACACAACTTTGTTGAAACATGTTGTCACTAAGATACTGCAGAAGCTCAAATATTCATAAATTTAAAGCAATCTCAAGGTCAATATTTGTGACTGAATTGTAAGTCAAGGTCTATTTCCATACTGACTTGTAGGACAAAATGAAGTTGGCCTGCATTAGTCTACATAGATTTTGTATGATATAATTAGTCTTTAAAAAATAAAACATTTTGATGTCAGTGACACATTTAATAGCACCAATACCATATTTTATAATTAGTTACCTCTGGTTTGTTACCTTGGTAATACATTAGGCCAGGTCTTTTGCTAAAGTAACACATGTTAGCTGTTACCAGAGTAACTTATTACCACAAGTCTGTTACCATGGTAACATGTCAGTTCTGTTGCAAGGTAACAAGATACCTTGAGTTTGTAAACAGGGTAACACAATACCTCAGTTTTGTGACCACCCATCTATATCCTTGTACCAGCAGAGCGTTACTCCCAGAGCTTGTAAATATGTACCCTAATTTCCTTGCCAACACACTGACATTTGACTCCTTCACTCTTGCCCAATCAAAGTCTGTGTTAGATAAATTTTGTATACACCTTCGCATTTAAGACCATGTCATTACAATATATATTAAGTGGTTTTGAGATGTGTTTATAACTGTGTTTATAGAAATGTAAGTGCTACATTGAATGTGTTAAAAGTTCCAAAGTTCATTCCAAAAGTAACTAGTCACGCAGTAATCAAAGATACAAGTTGTAACTCACGGCAAGTAGGCTGTACCGTAGGTGTAGATTCTGCACTGTAGTCTGGATCCCTAGACTAGATCTAGACTGTATATATACACTGTAGTCTGGATCACTAGACTAGATCTAGACTGTATATACACTGTAGTCTGGATCCCTAGACTAGATCTAGACTATATACACTGTAGTCTGGATCCCTAGACTAGATCTAGACTGTATATACACTGTAGTCTGGATCCCTATACTAGATCTAGACTGTATATATACACTGTAGTCTGGATCCCTAGACCAGATCTAGACTGTGTAAACACTGGTTTGTTACACCAGGGCTGGTTTGTTTATATGGTTGGATATCTGTTAACACAACTGTATTGAGTAATGCATTGTAACAGACTTACAATTGTCTAGTGGCTTTTAACCAATTACTCTTGCCAACTTAAATGGGAAGTGCCCTGTTTGTTTAAATGCCAGTGATTTTTAATTGGTTAGTGAAGAAATACATCAAATGTTACTTTATCAAAAGACACGCAAAATGATTGTGTCCAATTAGAGAATATTGGGGATATAAACTTCATGAATTGTGGAAAGATTTTAGTCTACATTAGGATATGGATGTGTATAGGAATTAAAAAAATCCTAGATCTGCATTTGTGAGATTTGACAAAGCCATAGAATATTTGGACGAATTGCAAAATCAAAGTGAATTTTGAAATGTAATTTTGTGGTGTTTGTGCAGCCGTTTGGCTATTTGGCCTCGGATCTGTGAATAAGTTTTCACATTATTATGGTAACACAGATATATATTACACTCACATACTAATGAATGCTAACCCTGTATAGATCTTTTGTATGCACCTTAATTGTTCCCGCTGGTTGATGACTCTTGACCAAGAAATATCGAGTAGTTTAGCCTGGTAAACATATACATAGTCTGACAAAACTGTTACGCTGAATTGTTTATCGAGCAGTTTTGTCTGATGTGCAATCATAACATTCAGCATTCCTCGTGCATTTATTGAACTCCTATTCCATTGAATATTCATTAATAGTCAAATGATAGTACTTGCATAATCAATATGTTTATATATTTAAAACAAGATGGAGGAACTTCATCTTTGTTTGATATTTAGAGTTTTACAATTTGTGTCCGACTTGTAAAATGACTATTTTTTTGCCCGTATTTGTTCTCTATTAATCAAGTCTAATTTGTGTTTGCATATCATTAATTTAGAATTTATAACTTTTTGTAATAATTATGTTAATTGAGGTTGTGATTTTATGTAACAGAATTCTTTGTAAGATTATATTAAGTATCCCATTGTAGGTGTGTGATGGTATTACAGGCACTTCAGTAAGCCAATTCTACAAGATCTGTTTGTGAAATATTTTGCATGTCTTATGTTTATGTCAATTTAAGTGAATATTCAGTATGGAATTTACATGATGAATGTTTGTATATAGATAAGATTTATAAATTCAGTTTGTGATCAATGTGGTTTTGATTATCATTGACTTTCTTTTAAGGATACCTGTTCCACTCCAGGCTATACAAGTTTCCACTGTGGTTTTTCGTATCTATAGAGTAATCTCCCCTTAACTTAGTTTTTGGCTATAACTGTAGCAGATTGGGGCCTAAACACTTCCGTTGAACAGGTAGCTCAGTTGTTAGAGCGACAGTATAACAGTCTGTAGTCTAGGGGTTGAATCCTAAATTTTTTCACTCAGAAAACTGTTGTTGATTATATTTTGTATATATCATCTTTATTATTCTTTTGCCTGAAAGTCCCACAAGGTCTAGTGTTCTGATCTGGTATATCAAAGCTATAGCGATGCCGGGGGAAACAGTTTCCTGCATACTTTGCATAGTCACAGTTTTTGGCAGTGGTACATATATTATATTTTATATTTCATACGTTGTAATCTGTCTTAACTATCCACATAACTTTTCGTGTTTGGATTTTACAACAGGGGCATGACACAATTTACAAAGGGAAGGATTATCAAAAAAACCTGTAAAGGATACTGTGGTATATTTTAGAGCATACCTTTCTCTGTTCAGCTAACTATCAGAAAACCCTGTGATAGAGCACTTGAAAATTACCAATGTCACCTATAATTTATCGACCAAAATCCAGGTCAAAAAAGGACTATTTTCTTTTTTTTTCATGTGGTTTAGATCTGCCTAGCTATCCAACGACACATCCTTCAATGACCTTAGCTGTTGATAGGACATACAACCCTGTGCAACCAACTAACTATCCAACAAGCTATTCTCCCTACATTCCAATAAATCTTTTCACTTGTGTGTTACAAAGGATGTTGTACAACAGTCGCTAGAAGAAAATCTACCTATGTTTTATTCTACTATGGTAACTATAAATTGTGGGGTTGCCCCTTTGAGTTTAGGTAGAGTTCACTGCATGCTATCTATAATGTACTGGATGATTCCATTATCATCCATTATTATTGGATTATTCCATTTACTTGTATCGGTTATCATGTCTATAATAAACAATTTTTCTTGTATTCAATTGATCAGAACAAAATTGTCTGTTACTGTGAAATCAGATATTTTAGTGAGGTCTAAATTTTGTGGTTTCCCCAAATGACACCAGTTTGTGGATACAAGAATTCATGCAATATGAGTACCCACTCCTACGGAGGATAGCTTTATGTCAAACCTGTAACTACTTTATAGACTTATCATTTCGTGGATAAAGAGCATCCATGGAATCAACGAAATGAAAAACCTGCGGAATTAGTGATTTCACAGTTTTTTTCAACGCACCTTAATTGTAACATCTGGTATACAAATCCAGGTACATATATTACTGGAAAGCTTACGTTCAAACAAATGCACAAAAACAAATGGCAAAGATGAATTCAGATTTTACAAAGAGATTTTAACATTTTTGAACTTTAATGTAATTCTTAGAGCTTTTGTTACTTCAAACATTCACCATGAGTCTTTCTCTGATTAACATTTACTGGTTATAGTGGAACAAATAATATTATATCTCATCTCTGTAACAGTGGATCTGATTGGTTTAGTTTGATCACATGACTTTGTTCCTCTCACTCACAAGTTATCCTAGTCCTATTTCCTTTATTCTAAAATGTGTTTCACAATTCCGTTCAAGTTTTCTCCATCATATTTTTATCCTTAT